TTATGATGCGTATTCGGGCATATGCGTAGAGTAAAAATATCATACTTTACGCCGAAAAAACGAAACTGAAAGTTAAATGCGTTAACTTCCGAAAACCATACATAATCCAACGAAAATAAATAATTGGTAAATATAACAGCTTTCTTGTATGCAAAGAAAAAAAATTAAAAATGTTAAAAAAGAGATGTCGACACAAAATTACATAGCCCCTTCAATCCTGAAGATACTAAAAACGAACTGTACCTTAACATTTTCATATCCCAGAAGCAAAAGTTCCCATGACGAATATTGCTATCGCTAGCGATTGCAAAAACCAACTTGTTGCTTTTACAAATTCACACGAATTCCGCCTTTTCTGGGCCGTAAGAGCTCTATAAAGCTCAAGATGGAGAAGTCAATCAAAAGCGGTCCCCCTCTGGCGATACAGTCTCTATCAAGGTTTTCTAGTTGAAAAGGTATTGCGTATTAATTGTCCGTGCCACTGATCCATAGCTTTTTTTCGTAGCGCCGGGCAAGAAGACCCAAGGAGGAGGACCTAAGGTGGGCAATATTATATCTGGTGGAAAAGATGATCGACCCTTGCATGGTCGCGGTTGGAGATGGACAGGGCACGTGGCCGGTCGAAGGTGTTGCCGATACATACGCGGGTGATGTCTGCGCGATTTTTTGCGAAGCCATCGGCGTTGCAGCTATCCTAAGATCGAGAGAACGTGAGAACAAAGACAGTAAACGATGGCGAATTTGCTCAGACTTCAACGGCCAAGGAGAATGCATACGCGAAAATGACTACGGAAGGTGCTGGTGCGTTTTCGGAACATACCGGACCCGTACCGGAGCTGAGGCGATGGAAACGCTGATCTGGTGTCACAATCATGTCAGATTAAAATAGGCGGGATCGCTTTGGACGACACAGTGAGGATTTAAGGTGCATCTTCAGCAGCAAGCAAAGGGGTGCCACCACCGGATTTTGATTTTTTGGTGTACGCTAGGCTGTTAACGTCTTTAATAGATATTTAAAGCGGCTCTAATATACGTATATAATTTGTTGTTACACTATATTTTACGGATTGTATGGAATCTAACTTTGAATAACTTTTTATTTTAAGATTTTATCAACATAAACTCACAAGTCTGAAACGCAATGCTTCTTTTTAAAGCGGATAAATAGTACATGAGTGACGATAAAAATATTCATAATTTGTCAATTTTTACTTTTTCTGTTTGACCGCCATCTAGAGTAGTGCGGTGTAGGAAAAAAGTTTAAAAAGTTCGAAAGAATTCATTTTCCCCCTTTTGAACGCAACATCTAAACATATAAGTTACTAAAGCTTAAACATTGTAGTATTTTAATGTTTCCGCACCGCTTAAAATATAATGATTTCAAGTGCATTAATTTTAAATTCGCTACGTTTTGAAACTTCAAACGCGTTTTTGTCGAAACATAACTATCCCACTTGGGCATTTCTTCTAACCACTTCTCATATAGAAGCTTTCCTTGAACCTTAATCGCATCTATCAATGAAATAAAAAGTACGAAAAAAATAAAATTATATACAGGCAAAAATTTAATATTCATTTATGCTAACATCTACCTTTAAGAACGATATTCGAAGATTTCATTCTTATTGTTAGACGAGTGTTGAATCAACTAGAATCTACCCAACAGAAATAGTTTTGAATTGTGATTATACTCGTATTGCTCCTTGTGTGAAGTTTTTTTTAATTTATCTACAGTTTGATTGTGTTTATATTTTTTCTCTATTCATTAAGGGTGTGATCTAGGTTTATCAGTACAATAAGTATAATTGACCTTAAAATAAAAATAATTTCATGATGGGCTATTAATTAGTCAGTTATTTCTTGGCCCAGATTTACTTAATTCTTCACAGGGTTTGCGTCATGCATGCAAAATGGAGGCGTTAAGGGGTATCGCAGAATAACGTAACAATCGAGTCATGTATTACTTTAACCGACTGTAAGGAGGATCTTGAGAACTCCTTGTTAAACTGACCTGTGGCCGGAGAATAGATTCTAATTGACACTTCACTCAAAACTCACCGCGGGTTTCAGGATATTCCGTCAACGATTTTTTGTCCGCACACCTGTTTTGACCAGTATTTTACGTCCACGCGTGAAATAAGCAACAGTGACTTGGTCCAAGTGTCATATTTTAGTCCGTATGTAAAATTATATTAACAATAAATAAATGACAAAATTGAGAGAGACGGACGAGTTGTTGCGGTAACTCATTTTTTAAATGGATGCATAGTTATTTCCTTCTTTTGATCAATCTTTTTAAATTGTAATGGGTGAATATTTGGTTGTATTTCCATCCTTAAAATTTTCGATGAAAAATAAACCTTATAAACACTTTTTTTAATTGAAAATATTAGTTTATTTTAAAAACATTTACATTTTTAAAGCGTGGCAAATAATTGTAAAACCTTTTCCAAGTGATGGCATCGATATTAAAGTCAATGAGCAGTAGTTGTGTCGAAAGAAACTATGCAAAAATGAACAAAAGAGGGAAAAAACCGAAAAGCACGCAATCTTCGGTTTTAGCCCATTTCTGCCGTGCAACGCAGAAACGCCGTAAACGCCATTTTACATTTTTTGGAAACAATGTATCGTAGCAGAAACACTTGCGTACCTTGGGACAATGTTTTTCCAGAATTCTTTCGCAAATACTATCAAGAACTTATCCTGAAAATTTGAGGTTCATGGGTAAAACAGTTTTTATTTCATAAAGTGTTAAGTTCCTAAAAACGAGGGAAAATTTTGATGGATTTACGGCGTTCTTGCTTAGCACGGCAGATTTGTACATCGATCATTCAGTGTCAAATACGTCCTATTTTGAGCGTTTGGTTGCGCTCACACCACGCTGCAGCACAGTAAAAGCACAAAATATAAAGGAAAAAATCAATGTCTTTTGAAAATCATTAAATACGACAAGGAAACACCTTAATATTTACAAAACACACATTAAATTTTCCTTTCATATATATATTTTTATTATCAATTTAAATTAAAGTAATCTATGGAGAGTGTGCAAACATATAAAAATCATGAGTTGAAAAACGCTGAATCCGCGAGTTTAAATAATAGGCCCTAGCATAAAGCGGAGTGATGCGACGTGCTGCCAGCACGAAACGCGCACTGGCGCCTACAAACCTAAGCAGATACTTCACGCATTGCGCAATGCTTGAGGTATCCCTTAGGTTTGTAGGCGCCAATGCGCATTCCGTGCTGGCTGGCTGGCCGCGCGCGCCGCAGCGTGCCACGTGCCGCGGCGCTACACTATTTCACAATAGAGGTGTTGTGCTGTATTATACGAAATTGAAGGCACTCCAACATACCAACAATAAGAGTGACAGGCATCCTTTCAGAGTACGGAACTTTCCTTGCAAAATAAGTCGAGATAAGAAAGATAAAGGAACCTTCTTGCGTATGCCGTCAAGGAGATTTTATTTTGAATCAAGAATAAAATAGGTGAACAAAAGCGGGTTTCTGCTTGATGTACAAGTGACTTTCCTTTTTATAAAAGCATCTTTTCTTCTTTAAGAAAACATTATTTTCTTTACAAGCTCATAAGGAAATCTTCTCGGCGGTAAATTTGAGGATATTTCTCCTTAAATTAGGTCACTTGTTCCTCTAATGAAATTAAAAATCATACTAAACGTTATTAATTACAGATACTAGGACGGTAAGTTTTTCGACTACCGCTCTCTTTTTGTTCGGATGAATATTATTCTAAGAAAAATTGGTGTTCATTGGCCTTTAGAACCAATTAAGATGGAACAAAATCCAATTCCTCGTATTAATGTGGTGGGCAACTCGCGTATAGGGTGAGTTGCAGCTCGCTCGTGTATCCGGGATACCCCACCGCCCGTAATCCAGGCGATAGGCAATCGTGAGTTGTGGCGCTAGGCCCGAATTTTTCCATGCGCTGGTGTGTGACGCCACGCTCGCAAGTTTGATCACAGTTGGCTGGGCAGTTTTTTACGGAAGCAGAAGATGCTTCGAAAGTCAAATTTTAAGCTGAACTTTTTGGCAGGTTGCACCAAAAAATATGCAGTTTAAAATTAAGGGTCTAAACCACTTATCCACTGGGGCAATCTGCCAAAATCTGTGGTGGAATGTACCAGGGAAAAGGCGACTTAAAATTTGAGGGTTCTCCTGGAGCGTGGCGCCACACTCTGTGGCGCTGGGCCCGGATATCCGAGATACAGCGTGGAGCCAACATCTGTGGCTCATTGCACCGTAGCCAAAAATTTAGGAAGGACCCGTAATTTTAAAACACAGCAATCAAAGTATTTTTATTTCATAGTTTTGCTTATGATTCAAAGCTATATTTAGCATTCACTTTGTCGTTAAAGCTCGTTCCTTGATTCTGAAACAAGGAAGAAAAACTAATCAACAAAGACTGAGACTACATGACTCATAATATTGACGTCACTCTAGGTGAAAAATAATAAAGTGAGCAAGGAAATATTCCATGCACCCTTTGAATTTTTTCTTCTTCTTTAGAATGAGCATGCCACACATTTCCGCACAGAAACGTGATCAGGTTGAGGGAAGCGCTACTGCGCAGTTTTTACTTTTAAAAAAAGACTGAGTATATCTGTGGCGCCTCTTTTCCTGCGTAATTTTAGTGAGAAGTTGCACTGAAAAAGTCATAAAAGTCGAGTCCACGCGTTTATTCAGTAGAGGAAAGCAGACACTGCGAACTACTTGACGTATTCTGACAGTTAAAACTCCTGATATCAACAAGTAAGTAGGAATCTTTAAACTCAATTCGACTATATTTTAGATATTTTAGGATACTGATTATATTTTGATATAGTTCTCAGAATTAAAGTGTAATTCATATATTTATATTAGTTCTTATCTTAGGATTCATGTATGAATGATGAACAGGACTTTGGACGTTGGACGTTGGATTGAATAAAGAGAGAAGGAGAGAAGAGTGTAAAACTTCTATTCTCTAAGGAGAATAGAAGTTTTACACAATATATAAGTAGTACTTTGTACTCACCCTTCGTTTTTTCTGTTAATACATTAATAGACTTAATTGACATCGAAAAAGCGGAAATTTTAAAATATCGAAATTAAAGCAGGTGCTTTTGCGCTTCATGTATTAAAATATTTTTTCTGCAGACGTGAAACATATCTAGGGAGACTCGGAGATTCATAGGGTAAAAGAAAATGTCTAAAAATTACATTTTTGGGGGAACATGTTCCACTCGACGGGAGGTTTAGAGACTCGTGAGCCCTCCTGGCTTTAGTATTGATTTAACTAAAACTTGAGTGGCTGTCAATAATAAAAGCAAACTGGATTTTTCGACACCGCTCCTCACACCCTCTTGTAACAATCCTCTCTTCCGTATAGAGCGGTCTGTATCTTATGGACGGTTCTAAGCCATAAGTGTCGTTGGATGATTTGGGTATTTCCATAAATGTGGTAGTCCCCCAATTAATTGTGTTAGTACCCCTAATAAATTAGGTTACCAACCCAAATGTTGCGGCACGGTCTCAATTTGAGTGGTTAAGTCAAGTAAAATCTGTGTTCAGTCAAATTAAATTAACTCACACAGGTTCTGAAAGCATATTCTAGGTATGAAGAAAAATACCATATAGAGGGACAAAAAATTATTCTATTCAGATATTTTACGGAACTACACCTACTTACTTACCGCGGTAATTGGCCATAACTTATTTCGTTATTCACTGATTTTTCGAGAAAAAAAGCGTGTTTGCCAAAAAAAAAATGCCTTTCAAAGGTGCCAATGAGCGTGTTTTCGGCAAATTGGATGCTACGGTCATTTGGTACGTGATGAATAACAATTTAAAGCCAATTTCGACTTTAGAAACGAAAAAAAGTAGCTGCAGTGTCAGAAGATACCCTACTAGAACAAAGTCTCCATCCTTTCAGATGCATAACACCCGAACCAGTTTTACATGCGGTGTATAGAAGAGACATTGTGAACTGATTGCCCAGAAACCTTTACTATCAGACACTGCCGAGCACGCGCGAGGCAGAAAGTTCATATGTATGTCTTATGTATTTTGTGAAGTCAAGTCCTTTTTCGGCCCTATTGGGAATCAATATCTTAGAAAATTGAACCATCCTCGTAGAAGCCCGTTATTTTTCACAAAAATCTAGTTTCAGGGAAACACAAAGGTTGGCTATTCTCTGACTCAGTGCTAAAAATCATACTGGGATCGACAGCTAAATCTTTCGTTTTTAAAAATCGACGGTTAGTGCGAAACCGTGTATTTCCGTTTGTAACGTCACAGACTTTCATTCACAGGGTAAATAAAAATGTTTATAAGTTACATTTTTGGTCAAACATGTTCCACTAGAAGGGAGGTCTACAGACTAGCGAGCCCTCCTAGCTTTCCTATTGGTTTGCGTAAACTTTGAGTGGCCATTAATACAAAAACGTAAAGCTTAGTCCTGGATTTTTCGGCACCGCTTCTCGCACCCCCTTGTAACAATCCTCTCCCCCGTAGGGCGGTACGTATTCTATAGACGGTCCTATTGCACTAAGGGTCCTTGGACGATTTGGGCACTTCCATTGTGGTCGTACCCCACTAAATTAGATTAATAACTCAGATGTTGCGGCACGCTCCCAATTTGAGTACGGGTACGACCACAGTCAATTGGAAATGCCCAAATCATTCAGCAAAGTGGGGTCGTGTCATAATTTTAGGGGACAACCCCTAACGATTTTTATTCCGTGTCCCAAACGGTGCAATCAAATTTCAGGATCTGCGAGACCCTGACGCGACCCTCGTCGGTTTTCAGCATGAAAAATGGCCAAAACGCGTGTTTGCACGTGTCTCAGCCTCCTGTCACTGATGGTGCCATTTTGGAGCTCGTTGCTTTCAGTGGACGGGCATAGTCACCATATCCAGACTTCCGGACCCCCCATTGACGAGTTGCCCTATGTTAAGGACATGGCTAAAATTCCTGCTCCTGAGGAGAGACCCCGAGTTGCACGCCTATTCATAGAAGCGTCGCAAACAAGACGGAATGGACGGACTGAATTGAAGGCGTACGAATGCATACAACAACCCGAACCGGTCAGTATCGTTTGTTTTTACGTCACGATGCGTGCACCGAGATGAGAAAACAACGGTCTGGTTACACGATCAAATTCCCGTCAAATTCCGATCAAATGGTGACTGGTGCACACCATCTATCATCAAATTTCTGCGGCCTGCAAACATTTGATGGTAGATGGAACTGTGGGGCTCGTCCTTTATCTGATTTCCACACAACCGTGCTTATTTCAATCAACACGCTCTTTTAATTAATTTCACTCATCAATCTAGATAACTCTCGAACGCCATCTTGGTTATCATTTTGATCGGAATTTGACGGGAATTTGATTGTGTAACCAGGCCACAAGGGTTTGGCTCCAGCGCATGGTCTGTGGAGAGCATTCAGCGTACAGAACTGTTGAATTTGTGTTAGTGTTAAATGGCATAAAAAGCACATTACACATTTTTATCACACTGATTTTTCGTATGACATTTTGACCAATTACGGTGGAATTTCACCTAGCTAAAACTTACATTACTCATTCTTTCAATGTTAACATGAAGTGATGTGTAGGGTTTATGTTATGTAGTGAATGGGTACTTCGCACGCATAACGCTTTGAGGAAAAAATTCTTAAACGAGAAATGGAATAATAATTTGACGTAAAAGCGATATTGAGTTAAACCGTTTTTCGAGTAAAAAAATGAACAGTGCCAAAGAAAAGCGTACCATAATTGCATAAAGTGCCACGTACCAAAGTAAAATGTAAGTAAAATTTTAATATATATATATATATATAATATTTTCCCGCCGCAAAAAATGTTAGACATCCTCATAAAAGACTAAAGTTACAAGAGAAATATAAACATTTTCAAAAAAGCAAGCTATTGCATTTATTTTCAATTTTTCTGCAAAAATATTCTATCGATGATTATTCGACCACGGGTGATACCCATATTGCCGCTAGCTGGAATTGAAGGCGCGTTCCACGGCAACAGTGAAACAGCCACCTTAGAGTGACCTTAGATGTTTATGCTTTCTGGGTTCTGTATTCAAGGTTTTTCATCTAAAAATCTAATCGAATGTTCCATTGGATGACGTGAAATGCATTTAAGCTGCTTCTAATTAAATGTATTTATGTCATATCAGGTAATGCTATACTGCTATCAACTCAGCAAGACTCTTCATCATAAAGTCTATAGGAGAGCCAATTTCTACCTCGTGAGCGGGGTGCATAAAAGACCCGCCTGGGAGATATATAGAATAAATAGAAATGGAAGAGCGAGGAGATTTGCCTTACCTTCGCAATTCATGCTAGGCATCGACCCAAAAGATAAATTAGTCGGTGTTCTCGAAAATATCTGCGATGACTTCGAAGTTCATAAAAAACTCTCCGAACACCTGGTCCTTCTCGGTTTTCTGCCGAGTGAGATGTTTGATAGCTTCAATGATTACTATTGCATCAACGATTTGGTCGTCTTCCAAAGCCAAAGCTTGTTCCATGATTATGTGCTGCCTCGTCACACCGCGTACCTTGAAGCTGTGTGGAATATAGTGCGCATTTTCAAAATTTTCTACGACCGCCGACTTGCTGTAAGTTGCAAATTTGATAATTTAATTATTTAAATTTGGTTGTTGTCCATAAACTATGTAACGTGGTCTTTCCGATTTTTCGGTACCCACCCATACCTTGGAATCTTTTCGTTACATTGCTCCAGGCATCTCTAAAATAATCGCCTAAAATTTCCTTCGACAATCTCCCCCCCCCCCTTCATAGATGAAAAGAAACATGAGTGCTTACGGCCCATTTAAATTGACAGAAGTATTAAACATTTTCAATTATGCTTGGAAAATTAGTGTATGAAGCATCAAATTAATGAAAAAATGTATGTCTTTAGGTGAAAAATATTTGATAGGAACTATTGAACAATATACAATTACAGTATTTATACTGTTGAGCAGAGAGTATTGTGTGAAGTTTGTCTAGCTGCCGAGGTTCGGATCACACATCTGAAACTTCAGTTCTTACATCTGAAGTACTTCAGATGTGAGAACCGAAGTTTTTCGGATGTGAAAACCGAAGTACTTCAGATGTAAGAACTGAAGTTTCAGATGCGTGATACAAACCTCAGCAGCTGGACTTAAAGTGTTCAGATGCTCAATGAGAAAACTTCAGAGATCCATATGACCTAAACTTCGGGTCCCACGCACGAAGTTTTTTTCTCCGTGTGCGCGCGGGCATGGACCACTATCGGAGATCACGTTCTTGCTCGTAAACCAAACAAATGAACGACAATACCGAATCGGCAACTACTCGGGGAATAATGGCAACTACCGAGGCTGCCTGGAGGTAGAAATAGTGACGTTTGCCTGTTCACGGCGACTAAAAAACTGTCTCACGACGCAGGAAGTTTTAAAAAAGTTAGTTCCAAATTACGCAAATTGCGTGCTATGGGGTGGATTCAGCCTCTTTCACAGGGCCATCGTGATTATCATGGCATTTTGTGGCTGAAAAATCTCTCCACAACGCTGTTACTCTTGCGTGACATAGACCAATCACTTAGAGTAACTCGATATAGAGAGTGTGGAGCCACACTCTCTATATCGAGTTACTTTATAGTGTAAACGATCAAGGTGTCAAAAAGTGATTGGTTTGTTTCACGCGAGAGCTACAGCCGTGTGGAGAGATTTTTCAGCCGTAAAATGCCATGCTTGCGTAATTTGGAACTAGCTTTTTTCAAACTTCCTGCGTCGCAGGACAGTTTTTTAGTCACCGTGAACAGGCAATTTATTAGGCAAAGGATTTAGTGGTTTTTTCAAACTAGAACTTAATTCCGGTTAAGCCGGCTGAAAATTCAAAAGTCGATTTTTTCAAGGGACACCCTGGTGTGAACATGACGCCCCGTGGAGGCCTTAGGGTCCAAAAATGGCGGCTATTTGTTTAGGTTTACGTTGATGGGAGGGGAATTATTGCCAACTATTGACGGTTATCACCAACTACGCTTACCGCCAACCAAACTTTATCCATAGATTTCTCGAAAATAGGACACACACGACTGTGAAACTATGTAAGCCCGTCGTTTTAATAATGCGTATGTATGAAGGCCCCGGTGCGACAAAAAATAAAATCACATTAAAGTCATTTTGTTTTTATGAAATGCGCAAAACACCCGCCATTTTTCTGGTCCAATTAGCTCCATGAAGCTCAAGATGGAGGAGCCAATCAAAAGACGTCCCCTTCCAGCGACACAGTCTCTATCAAGGCTCTCTAGTTGACATCGTATTACTTCCTTGTCCTTGCCACTGATTAATTGCTTTTTTTCGTAGATCCAGGACTCTGGTCAAAACAGAATATACACGTGGGGGGAAAAAAAGTGGGCAATGTTATACCTGATGGAAAAGATGATCGACCCGTGCATGCTTGTGGAAGGGGATGGACATGGTACGTGGCCACTCCAAGGTTTTGACGATGGATATGCGAGTGATGTCTGCGCGCTTTTTTGCAAAGCCGTCAGCATTGCAGCTTACTTAAGATCGGATGAACGTGAGTACATGGAGAACGAACGATGGCAAATGTGCACAAACCTCAACGGCGAAGGAAAATGCTTCCGGGGCAATGGCTATGGAAGGTGCTGGTGCCAATTCAGACCACTCAGGGCCCGTGACAGAGCTGCGGCTTGGGAATTGCTGATCTGGTGTCACAATCATGTCAGAAATAAATAGACGCGGTCGCTTTGGACGCTACAGTGAGGATTTAAGGTGTGGTTTGATATATACATAAACAAATGACAGGTTTGCTGATTTCTTGGGAGAATAGTATCTGAAATTGAAAATTAATCGTCTTCCCTAAATTTTTTCAATCGTCAATTTATAAAAATATATTGGGTGTCATCATGCGACATGTCTTTTGCCTTGCAGAGGCAATAGGCACGTTAATGTGTATATGTCTGTAAGCAAGTCTATTAATAAGTATGTAGCAATGTATTAATTGGATACCTCCTCGGTAAGGGGGCGTCTGAGGTGCATGTTTATTTTTAATTCTGCTTCTCTAAAAATCTAATCATTAGAAACAACCCTTCCTGTAGGAAGTCCTGTAGTAGTGCAAAACTAGCTCGGAAGAATTCATTTTTCTCCTCTTTGCACGCAATATCGTCACATATAAGTTAATGAGACTTTTAAACGTTGTAATAATCTAATAAGTCCGCACTGATTAAAAAATGATAATCTCAAATGCATTAATTTTTAATTGGCATCGTATTAAAAATTCAAACGCGTTTTCTTCGAAACACAATTCCCCCATTTGAACAATGATTCTAACCACTTCTCAAATAGAGGCTTTCCCTGAGCCGTAATTGCTCCTATCAACAAAAAAATCACAAATTAAAAAAAGAATAAAATTGAATAAAGGCATAAAAACCAAAAATTCATGTATGCGAACATCTTCCTTTAAGAACAGTATTCGAAGATTTCATTCTTATTGTTAGTTGAATCAGCGAGAATCTACCCAACAGAAATAGTTTCGAATTGTGATTTTACTAGCATTACTTCTTGTGTGAAGTTTTTTTCAATTTATGTAGTTTGATTCTGTTTATATTTTTTTTTCTATTCATTAGGTGTGTGAGTTAAGTTTATCAGTACAATAAGTATAATTTACCTTACAATTAAAATAATTTTATAATGGGGTTATCAATTACTCAGTTATTTCTTGGCCCAGTTTTACGTAATTTTTTACGAGGTTTGCGTCATGGATACGCTACGGAGGCGTTAAGTGGCATCAGAATAACGTAAAAATCGCGTCACGTATTACTTTAACCTACTAAGGAGGATCTAAGTAGGATCTTGAAAACTCCTTGTTAACTTGTTCTGTGGCCGGAGAATAAATGCAAATCGGCACTTCACTTTCCACTCGAGACATTCTGGATGGCGACTTTGCCAAATTGCTCGCGTGTCAGCCCGCTGAATATATTTTTTGTAACACGGTTTTCATATCCTTTTTTATCTAGCAATTTCCGAATGCTGTTGCTCACGAGATCGGCAGATGAGGGGACTTTCTCATCGTCTCATATTTATGGTGTCTTATCCAAGCGACATTAATCTCAATGAGCCGCAATTGTGCCGACAGAAACTGCAAAAATGATAAAAGAGGGAAAAAAACCAAGAAGCACGCAATCTTTAGTTTTAACCCATTCGATATTTTGGAGTCAAATACGTTAAATTTTGAGCGTTTCGTGAAGCGTACACCTCGCTGCAGTACAATAAAAGCACAAAATGTAAAATAAAAATTTAAAGTGCTTTGGAAATCATTAAATTTGACACAGAGCCACCAATTTAAAAACACACATTGTATTATTATTCTTCTTTGATAAATTGATACGTACTTTTTTACCATCAATTTTAATGAGAATAATCAATGCAGAGTGTTCTAACATTTCAAAATCATGAGTTAAAAAACGCTAATTATTAAAGCCTAACAGAGCGGAGCGGCGTGCTGCCAGCACGAGAGGCTCACTGGCGCCTACAAACCTAAGTGGATACTTCACGCATTGCACAATGCTTGAAGTATCCACTTAGGTTTGTAGGCGCCAATGCGCGTTCCGCGCTGGCCATGCCATGCTGGCCATGCTGGAATGACAGGCATCCTTTAAAAGTACAGATCTTTCTTCGCAAAATAAATCAAGATACTTATCGTACACAAGAAAAATCTAAGAGCCTTTAGCTGAGGCAAATATAGAGGTTTATCCGGTTCAGGTATAACAAGGTGGGAATTTCTTGAAAGATAAGTAAGTTCTGTTACACCAAAGAGGTGTAGAGAGTTTTAGTGAATTTTGTCCCATGGAATTGACGCTCCCCCATTTTTACCAGAACTTTCAACTATATATTATTCTCCGTTGGACCAAACAGGATAGGACTCCTGGCAACTGGACCAAAACTCCCGTGCCGAAAAAAACGCGTGGATGTAAATTACTGGAAAAAACAGGTGCGCGGACAAAAAATCGTTTACGAACTGTCCTATAACCACCAATTTCCGTCTTGAATTCATACTTTATCGGAAGTAGAGATGCAATTTGTTGAGATGATCAGTTAATATTTGCAAGGTAAAAAAAAGTTGCACAATCCTTGCAATTTTGAAATGCTCTTGGTTCCTTTTTGCAAAATTCAATCCAATATTAGCGATAAGTTTATAACTAATCGAGAAAAATGTTCGATTTTAGAATGAGGGATGGATCATTATAATGAGATCGCTGCGAATGAGATAGTTGCTTCATCCCCGGATATCTCAGAGTAATCTACGTTCTTGGTTGATTCAACAAAACATCCGGTCAAGTATTTCATGTCCCTTCAAGTCTTTTTCGGTTGATCTGACCTATAAAAAACGACTCGAAAGAACCCATAGTAACCATAAACACGGACATTTTTAAGTTTGCAAAAGCTCTAACTTAAATGGAAAATATACTTTTTCAACACATCGCGACATTACCACCGAAGTGTGATAAAGTTAGACAAAGCCTGGAGATTCTCTACCTATAGTATCTGCGGAAGAGCAAAGATCAATTGAAAGGTGGCAATGAAGGTGATGAGTAATATGAAAGAAGGAAAAGCTTTGATCAAGGCGGACGAAAATTTAAGAGGGGGAATCTCGAATCGATAGCCCCGATTTTGCGGGTTCAAGGCAGATAGGGAACCATGAAAGAGCCAGTGTTTGTTGTCCACGAGACGCTGCACTTGAGAAAAATGTCTATTCTTTAGGGAGAGGTGGGATGTCCAAAAAGGGACACCATGGTGAAAATAATGTAAAATATCAAGGTAATTAAATGAAGTTAATTGCTAAGAATGATTTGGTAGAAACCACATATCGACGGCGAGACTTCCAAATCACGTATCTCGCTTGCGGTTCTTCAAAATCGCTGCTCCTTTTTTAATTCTTTGAAGGAGGATACATCAACATTATTCCTGGAGTTTTTTTTTGCAACCGTTGCATCCCTTCTAGAAATAATGAAGGACATAATCATGAAATGCCTCATAATAAATGTATTCATCTAATAATAAAAAAGTAGGATTGATATCAATTCAGGCGAAACTCCCAAACCACGTATCTCGCTTGCGGTGCGTAAATATCTTTGCTCATTTTTTATCTCTTCGAAGGAGAATAAATCAGCATCATTCCTTGAAAAGTTATTCAGAATTTACTTCGCACAGGAAAGGACAATTTCGGACGTTTTTAAGAGTTCGTGTTCAGTAATTCTCCATGTAAAAAGTAAAGCATAATAGGAAATCTACAACGTCACAAACCGAGATACGTGGTTTGGTAGTTCCACCATCAATATATTAATTTTGTACCTAACCCAAAGGACAGTTTCAAAAATGTATATTTATTTTACGTGTAGATGCCTGAAATACCAGAATAATTAAAAGTAATTCCCGATCATACCCACTGCAGACTGCAGAGCCTCTAGTTTTGATGTACACAATTTTACGGGCAATCCCCAGCCGTTTTAAGGGATCTGAAGGAGCCACGATTTTACCTCAGTCTCGAAGCGCCTTCAATTTCAAGGCGCGCTCTACGCCTTGCCTCGCAGTTGGTTTAGTTGCATGGCGGATCTAAACCCAACTTAGAGCCTTCGTAATAAGTCTTATAATAAAATGCTTCGCTTAGCCCGCCACTCACATAAAAAAACTCCGTGACTCAATCAGAGAATTCTCACATTATTATTTCTCTGCTAAATTCTTTAATTTCATAAAAACCAACAAACAATCTTCTATATTTTTCAAGTGACTGTATCGTACCATAATGAGACCGCGTCAAACAGAAAGGAACCAAGCCACATCAGCTATTGCCAAATTTAATCGGGCAATTTAATTTTTTACATAAAAGCGGGTGTGCGGATTTTTGTGCAAATTTCTATGAATTTTTTCCATAATAAAATGGAAATTCCTTAAAATTTTCAAAGGAATCCGCACATACGTTCGCTTATAAAAAATCAAATTCCCCTGTTAAATGTGGCAATAGCTGATGTGGCTTGATTCCTTTCTGTTTAACGCTTTCCAATGGAACTAATAAGGAAAGAAAGGCTTATACTTTATGATGGCGAAATTATTGTTGCATCTGGAATTAACGTGTTTTTAACGGATTTTCTGTAATGGTTTTTTCTTGGAGGTAATGCAATAGTAATGTTCTACGTGATCATATAGCGGAACTTAACTCGGAAAAGTTTTAATATACTAAAAATGCGATCAGTCGCTGAGAGCTGTAATTCCATCAAAGTCTCTGGTTCAGCAGCCGACAATCGTCTGCCCTTTGAGTTGAGAACTCACTATCTAAAAAACCTAGAGGTTCGGAAATGCAACATAAACCACTGACATTATGAACGTAGCCACGAATTTTTCATTGAACTTCGTAGCGCAATTAGGAACTTTACTTTTTCTGGCTCAATTTGGACGCAACCTATTCAAAAGTGCTCTCGGTTTTCCTGCGTTAATGAGTGCTTTATCCTTCGCCTTATTTGTAAGTTTCAGTGATCAGACCACTGGTAAATATAGGGAAAATGTTCAATCAGTTTTAGTGGTGATAGTGGCAATTTCTAAATTTTCAAGATATTTTTATCACAAAATGTACCCGTGAATTTCGGCCTTCAAATTTCAGTGTTTCCATCATATGCGTCACTTTGGCAGAACTGGAATGCGCGACGGGCCGAAAGGGGTAAAGGAGGAATGCTCGCAAGCCAAGTAAAAACGCCGTGCGAACTTTGAGATTTTGCCAGTTTTCCATCGATGAAACTCACACTTTCAGGGAAAATCGTGACCATTTTCCTTTCAATTTAGCAGAGAAATCTATTCGTAATTTAATCTGAAGTACGTGAAAATTCCAAGATGAATTCTTTATAACTTTTCTCAAAAACTAATGTTTCATCCGGGGAAATTTGGAGCCACCCGGAGGTTCATGCGGCGTTTTTACTTAGCACGGAAGAAAAAGGGTAGGGTGGAGGGGGCGGAGGGGTGCTGTGGCACGATAGGAAGAATCTGAGTTGCGAGGAGAGACAAAACGACGAAATTGATACTTGTCAAATTATTCCCCTCATTCTTCAGCTCAATGGCTCTTATTAAACTTGCAGCTTATTATGTCGCACAATG